GCTTGACACCAAGCCCCCAGGGGCCCATTTTGCAGCACACAGCGCTGTTCTCCTGCAAGCATGCCCTGAACACTTCTGCATCTAACAGCTGGGCATCCTCCTTCAGAAGGCTGAGCCCGGGGCAGCTCTGAGACAGGTGCTGCTGACAAACAGCAGGACACACTTTTTGCTAGCTCTCCTGAGGAGGGGACAAGGCGCCACCATTCCAGACGAGAAAGGAGCGCACTGCACACCCTGCTGGGCAAGATGGGAAGCTTCAGTCTGCTCAAGGGTGCCCTGGAGCCTGGCCTGCAGCTCAGCCTTGGGCCTCTGCTTCCTCCCTCAGCACCTCACCTCCCCGCACCAGCACCACCCTGACTCCCTGGGGCTCTGGGCAGCAGGGTCACCTTATCCTCTCCACAACATGGACCACCGTCTGGTACGTTTACCCACTTCTGTGTTCAGTTTTACTCTCACCACTAGGAGGAGCCTGGTGGCACTGGGATGAAGTGCCCACGGCGGCCCCAAAGGCCAGTGATTAGAAGCCCCCAGCAACTCAATGGAAGAGAAGTCCTGGTGATGTGCTCCCACAAAGGACAGCCCAGGAAAGCGGGGGTGGGGGAGATCATCCCGTACAGCTCTACCGGTCTCATGCATTGCTTTGAGCCAGAACTGACAGGATCACACACAACTGCTACTTTCATGAGAACCAAAGGGAGTCTGCCAGGCACGTTGCGTCCACGCTCAATAAATCACTGTTGAAGGAAACAAAACCCTTTGCTCCCAACACCAGTGCTCTCTTGCCACGAGGCCTATTATTCCAACCACATTTCAGTGTCCCCACACATGCCCAGTGACGCCTCCTCCGGCACGCTGGTGCTGCACCCTCAGCTGGAGCACGTCCCGCTCTCCCTAGCACAGCCTGACAGAACCATGCCCCTCTGGTGGACCTCCCCTTCCTGCAGCCTGCTTACTGCCAGGACCCCAGTGGCTTCTCCTCCTCCCGCGTCATCCCCCAAACCCCGACCACCTCAGTCCAGGGGGCACTAGTCTGCTTCCTCTCCCAAGAATTCTTCCAAGGTGTCCTGAGTTCCATGTACCCACACACATCTCCCCTCCCGTCTCTCCCTGGCAGCGCTGAGGCTCTCAAGGGCAGGCACCTCCCTGAAGAACCTGCGAGTGGCCTGTCGTAGCAGACTGCGGCAGACTGTTGTACAACTGACTGAAGGTAAGGGACCACTGAGCAGGGACGAGTGCAGCTTCTCTCTGCCACGGGGCCCCATTTCCATTCTTAAAAAGGGGTCAAACAGATAGATCCCCATAGTCGCTAGTAGCCTTCAAGTGCTTCCAGGTGTGAATATGGACAATTTTAAGGGCCCCAGGGTCAAAAGTACAAGTCTTGAGCCAGAGCGGTTTGTGAAAAAGACGTCTCCTGCAGCTAAAATCTGGCTGCAGTCTGCAGGGGCAGTGCATTCGCTCATGTGGCTCCTGTAGCCAAATGGCCTTTTCCTGGGTGAGGAGGTGGGGGAAGACACCGCTAGGGTTCACTAGCATGTCGCCCCGCTGGGTATAAAATGAGCCTTCTGAGAAGGTAGGAGGGCGTTTCACTACCAGCAAGAGCCAGGATTGGAGGGCAGCCTCTGGACCCTGAAGAGCCCTGTGCAGAGACCCGCCTGGACCCAGGAGACAGCTGTGATCCCAGAGGAGCAGCAAACAGAGCGGCGGACTTCCCAACCCACAGAGCAAGTAGAGCTGAGTGTTTGGGGCAGGAGGCAGGCTGGTCTCATGGGTGCCTCTGGGAACTTCATTGGTGAGCTGGGTTCACCGAGCCAGAGAGCTTGAGCTGAATGCCTCTGGGGTGAGGCTGACTGTGGGGAATGACATGCCCTGTTGGCGTTTATTAGCAGCCTTGAAAGAACTTTGTAACGTGTCCTGATGAACAACTGTACCTTGAGTATTTCTCACTTGCATTGGAACCTGTGAACTTCCTTAATAAACCCTGTAATCATTAGTACTGTGAGCTTTGTTGTAGCTATTACAACGAATATTAGCACCTAAATGAAAAAGGAGATAGTGTTGATTCAGACAACTCATGACTATATTACCATGTATATTGTGAACTCAAGACCCATTCCAGTGACGGAAGGGCATCTATCAGCAACTCTTTCTGCAGCTCCTTGTTAATGCTCCAACATGCCAGGCACCGTGTTTGTCCCTGCCACCAACATCGGAGAAAAGCACCAGTCGGTGGACACTCAGGAGAAATAAACAACTAGACTGAAGAGCAAGACCACCTCTCTCCTTACAGGGATCCAGCAGGAGGTCCTCATGTATGTGCCAGTAGGTGGCTCAGCTTGTCTGGAATCAGGCCAACGTGGCCGAGCTCCATGGAGGGGAGCTGGAGGCAGCGGAGCACAGCGGCGACCGGCAAGGCCTGGGGAGCTACTCAATCTCTCGGCTGCAGCAAACACACGGCGATGGCACCAGCCTGTGGGGCTGACATGACGACTGAGGACATACTGTAACGTGCTCTGACTGGTGTGCTAGTTAGGTTGGAGGTCAGCCTGGGTGCCCCCACGATACAACCGGCCCTAGCAGGGCCAGCTCCATGACGGGTCTTCTGAGAGGCAGCCAGGCAGCTGTGGGAACAACAGGGTAGAGAGCTACCTCCTGAATCTGGTCACAGACTTGATACAATTAAGAGAGGTTTCAGAGTGGGAAGGAGGTTGCGAGGAGAGCCTCCTCTCAGTATAGATTGACACTGCGCAGAAGTTAGCTCACTAGTTCTTACTTCTGCTGGATCTAGTTCCTGAATCTGGTTTGTCGACCTCCTGCCCCACGCCTGCCAATCCCAGGAGACAGCAGCGGACTACCAACCTTGGATTAGCTTGATCAATCTCAGGTTCATTCAGCTCTGCTTTCAACAGCCTGGGGTCTTCCTGCTCCCTGTTTGTCAGCCTCTGCAGCCACAGGAGTCAGGAGGAGCCTCCAGCTTTTGCATGTGTCACAAAGACTTGATCTGGCCTGGACTTAACCCACTCCACCACGGTGTGAACCAGGTCTCTTTCTGCATCCACACACAAACACGTACCATGGGTTCTGCTTCTCCAGAGAACCCAGCCAACCTAACGGACCTGACTTACCGAACAACGTGTGTGTTACACAGACACTTTTAAATGTCTTCAATGAGCGTATATTCAGGACAAAAACCACTGCTGTTCACAGTACAAACTGGGGGACAAAGGCAAGGGTGGAATTTCAGTGACCTTGTTTAGATTCTGTATGTGGTAAATTTGAGGTTAAATTGGTTATGACTTACCACACAGTCTCATGTGAAAGAAGCATTTTGGAAAGAGCAAGGTCTTGTCTTAAACTGTCTCCCGAACAGCTTCTGTCTAAGGAGTGATAACAGCATCTAGTGTCCATGGGCAGTCCCCTTTTCCTACCTTATGTCCCTCAGGAGACCATGTCATCCTCCTGGGTATTCTGACCGTCACCCTCAGGCACACACACACTGTGAAATCAGAGGCCATCTCTGCTGCCCCCAAGTATCAGGGAGCGCAAAACTGTGACTGACACTCTCCAAAATGACAGTGGCACTATCCCCCTCAGCTTCAAGGCCAAATGCTGCTACAGAAAGCTACCTCCCTTCTGCACGATTGCGCTGGGCGTGCAAGGTCTGCCAGTCCATGAAGCGTTGTGACGGGTGAAGGCCCGCCCACCTAGCATCTTCTGCCCCAGGTCGCTGACACAGTGACAGAACAAGTAAGCCAGCTCACACCCACTGTTGGGGACCCAGCCACACAGACAACTAACATACAAGCGAGGCGGAAGCATACGATTTTGTTCTTCATCGTTTTTACGTTGCTGTTGAATGCGCCCTCACTGAAGCATGGCACCCACCTCGTCTGCAGCCCCGCCCCGTGAATCACTGTGCTGTACCGTTAACCACGCAAGGAAACCCACTACCCACCCCGCGGCAAGCACTAGGAGACCCCGCGCCAATAGTGAACCCACCCCGCCTTTCAATCATGTGTACGGGACACTAGCCCACATGCAATGCCCCAACACTGAAAACCACGCTGGTTTCAGCCTTACCTTTCTTGGTTGCTCAGCTTGGCAAACATGGCTTTTACCAATTCCGGGTCTTTCAAAAAATGGTCCGTGACAACCAAGAACCTAAGAACGGAAGGGGAGAAGTTTGGTTACTAAGAGCACAGTCAAAAAGGACAAGGCATTATCTGCTCAACAGGCTTATCTCACACATAAGAAGACTGTCACCTTAAAGGGTACAGGGAGGGCTACCCACGAGTTTTCATTAATAGCCAAAAGACTTGGAAAACCCTCCAGCTATTTTTCTCAAATGTCACCTCTGAAATTTTTTTTTTTGCCAGAAAGTACAACCTTTCTTCATTGTTCACCAGCAGGAACAGGGCAACCAAATGCCCTGTGGGACGCAGGAACTGGGGGGAAGGGAGAATGCTGAGAAACCCAAACTGAAGGACACTGTGGGCCCCGCGAGGCTGGGCTCTGCTGAGAGGACAGCAGGGATGTGGGTAGCCGTGAGTGTCCTCAGGACAGGGCTGGGGCTGGGCTGTGCATGCACAGGCCTGCAGGGCACCAGGGGTGGGGGCAAGGGAACAGCTCTGGCCCCTCGAGCACCTTCATCCTGGAGGCGACCCTGACAACAGCTCTCCTATAGCAAGGCGGCCCTCCATGCCCCCGGCTGAGGATAGGCTGGCAGGGCCAGGCCTCTAGCCCCACCAAGAGGGGCAGTGGGGCTCCCAGGACTGGAGCCTGAGGAGGGTTTGCGCCTGACCTCTGAAAAATGTAATGCAATGATTCCAATGTACTCAAGTGGCGGACAGGGCCTATGAGCTCAATAGCTTTTATCTTAAGTTTCGAAAGGAAAATGCCTCACTGTAGTTTAAAGAGCAAAATGAAATTTAGTTACAAGAGCAAGTACAAACAGAGAATCTATTAAACCTTTTTGGTGAGACTTTTACCAAAGAAATGATCACATCTTCCTTTTTATTTGAACATGCCCCACCACCACCATCACGGGCAGGGACATGGTCTTGGTCCCCCAGCTTGGCGTTCTCGGGTTACCACGCAAACACCCTTGCTGTCAAGCAATGCTCTCCACACCACACTGAGAGATCAACACACGGAAAGCCCAGAGGCAAAGATTATAGGCATGTTTTCTTCAAAGTGCCACTGTGACAACTAAAAGACTGAAGAGTTTCATTAATTCTCAATCCCCTTTACCAGAGGGCAGCTGAAGGAAAGACCTCAGAACTTCAACGTGCACGCCTGACAACCACGCTATAGTTCCACCAGTGCAGGGAGTCTAGCTACAGACACAGGGACTTACTTAGCCACTTATGAACAGTTAAAATGACAGAATTACAGTATACCTTTCACTAAGACAGTAAGATGAAACAGATTCACCACAACCACACACTGTCCCTTCACAGAAAGGCCAATGGCCTCCCACAGAATCCACCTCTTTCTTCTGTCACCCCTAGAACAGCTGACCACCACTTTGATGCAAGATATTTAAGAATACTCAAAATTGTGAAACTGATTTTCCAACCGACTTAGGTCGGCAGGGACTATGGACTAAAATGGGGTGGAGACATCGATGAGAATCTCTCTCACGCACTGCATTTCCTCCTCCTTTATGCGCACAATAAGGTGGCCAAGAGCAGGTTGTTATGTGAAAACCAGCATTACGCAGAAGAGGCAGATGACTACATCAGAACACAATGTGGGGAATGGCTACAGTATTACATAATTGCCAAGCCCTGAGAATTCTAGCCGGGCTAAGCTGACACATAACCTTAACCACCCCAGCAAGTGTCACTGGCACCTCAGCATCTGTCACTGCCAGATGTTAACGTACAAACAGTCAGATAATAGATTGTTCACGGTCATAAATTCAAATTTCAGATAATCAGAGTGGGTGTCCAGATATCAATACATGGATCAGTAGTTGTTGTTAGGTGCCACCCAGTCGGTTCCAGCCTATAGCGGCCCTCTGCCCAACAGAAGGAAACACTGCCCAGCCCTGCACCAGCCCCACAATTGTCCCTGTGCCTGAACCCATTGTTTCAGCCATGGTGTCACTCATCTGTAGACAGATCTATTCTTCGGTCAACAGCTGTATCAAGAAGTGTTCACTTTCCCCACTAAAGGGCCCTCTACATCATTTTACTTCAAGAAAGTGAGCTTCAGGGTGAAGATGCAACATCTAGTAATTTTCCTATTAAAAAAAAAAAGAAAGAGGCTTTCTGCATTTTCACACAGCAAAGTGCAATGGTGAAAATGGAAGAAACTGTGTGGTCCTTTATAAAAGGCTTGCCCGTTCCCCTCTGGAGTGTCTCTCCAAAGGAACTACGGAGCAGGTGGGCCTAGAAGAGGTGAAGGCAAAGATGCCACAATCACTCCTGGCTCCGGCCAGCACGACACACACCCAGTCGTCCGCAGTCAGCAAGCAGCTTCTGCAGGGAGTCAGACAGTAAACACTCTAGACTGGGCGGCCACACCGCTGCTGCTGCGATTCCTCACCCCTGCCATCACAAGACACACCAGCCACAGGCAATGCAGGAACCCATGGAGTGGTGGCCCAATAAACCTTCATTTACACAAACAGGGGGTGGGCTGGATTTGGCCCATGGACCGCAGTGTGTCAACTCCTGTCCGGGAAGACTCAGATGGCCGTGAGGGCCAAGACAAAGGACAGGGACTTGGGGGTGGGGCCTGTTAGTTCTTTACACTAGCTGTAGATAAATAATAAACAAAATGTCTAGTTTGGGGCAGTGCTCAGTACAAGGAAGAGTAAAGAAATAGACACTGGAGCGGGATGGGACACTTTGAGAAAAGGCATGAGGGAAGCTCTCTCTGGAGAAGCCAGCAGGCAAAGGCGGAAGGGAAGACAGCTGCAGAGAAGACAGTGGGAGTTAGGGTTGAGGGGGGGGTAAACCCCGCGGGCACTAATGACAGAAGACCACAAGGTCAGTGGGCCCGCGGCCAGGTACGGCCCGGGGGAACCACTGGAGGGGCTGTTTAAGCAAAGGAGTGCATGATTCAGAGCAAAACTTTAAGAAGGGCACTCAGGCCAAGAGGAGAAGGCACTGCAGTGGTCTGTCTATGCAAGACGCCATCCCTGGGGCTATGGAGGCAGAGACTGTGTGAAGGAGTCTACTGTGATGATGGGTTGATGAGAACAGGTGAATGGGCGCAAAAGAGAATCAGGGCTGACTAAGTTCTGGGCTGGGGAAGGTTCTAGAACCTCAGCAACTGGGAAAATGGTGATGTCGATTACTGAGTGGATACAGGCCATCAGAATTTTGGCTGTAGCCTCGATAAACAGGAGGTGCCAATTAGAGGCATACAACAGCGGGAAGGTGAACGCATGACGTCTGGAGCGCAGCAAGAGTTCAAGGTCAGAGATAACATTGGAAATCATCCACTTAGAATGTGGCATTTGAAGCTGAGGCACTAGAAGAGGTCACCCGGGGAATGAGTGATGGCAGAGAAGCAGTCTGAGCACTGAATCCTGGCTTCCTCTCTGACTTCTGGCGGCCATGAGGAATAGGAGGCAAGCAGGCAAGAAGTCAGAGGGGAGTGAAACCAGCACAGGGCAAGAACGGTGAGTCAAAGGTGAGGGACTGATGGCATCTTTGAACCCCTGGGCCCACTGTACTAACTGAGATCCACTACACCAAGGACGAGAGGGCCCTCAGTTACGTAAGCCAGCCAATCAACTGCCTGAGCCCTCGTGCTATCTGAGTAGTACACAATAGAATGTTCCATACATATTCTCCTGCGAGGACACAGTAGCAACACCGAATCTTGCCAAGAGGGTCAGCATGCAGAGCAACGACCATTACGCTTATTTTGTCTAATGTCTTACTTAACCCAATAGCAAACGTTAGTATGCATAAAGCAAGAGCCATCCTCCAACATGGAGGACACTGGCCTTGGAGTGAAAATGCAGCATGGAAAAGGGATGAGACGATCCACGTGTTGTTAGGTGCCATCAAGCTGGTGCTGAGTCAGAGAACCTGGGTAAGACAGAAGGAACCACCACCGCGGTCCAGCACCATCCGCCCAACTGTTGCTTATGTCTAAGCCCATCACTACAGCCACTGTGTCAGTCCAGACCACCCAGGAGCTGCTGCTTTTTTGCCAATTCCTCTACTTTACCGAGCATGATGTTCTTCTCCAGGGACTGGCCTCTCCCAGTAACATGTCTAAAACACACGAGACAAAGTCTCACTAGCCTCACTTCTAGGGAGTCACTCTGATTGTACTTCTTTCAAGACAGATTTATTCATCCTTCTGGCACTCAGTGATATTTTCATTCTTCATCAACACCATGATCCCAAAACATCGATTCTTCTCCGGTCTTCACCGTCCAGTTTTCTCATGCATGTGAGGTGACTTGGAAATACGACGGTGCATGTTGGCCTTCAAAGTGCCATCTGCTTTTTAATACTTTAAAAGAGGCCTTCTGTACCTGACTTGCCCAATGCAAAAATTCAAAAATACAACCAATTAAATCTACGCTTTATTTACAATTATAACGTTGCTTTTATTGTGTGACCCTCCTGTCTATCCCCCAAAATTACTGATAATAACTCACGACATAATACAAATGTATAAGCCTTCAGAACCTGGCTTCCCATCCTGTCTCTGCTGGACACTGTTTGTGTGGCCTTGGTCAAGCTGGTTTACCGCACGGGGGGTCAGGTTCCTCGTCAAAAAAAGGTGGCAAAATATGATCCATCGGAGGTAAGTTAATGTGGAAATGAGATCACACAGGAAAAGGTCCCACCTCAGAATCAACAAATCCCTCCTCCCTTTTCCCCTAACGTGTAATTCGGCACTGACTCCCACCTATTTGTGATAGCCTACCAATGCAACGTTAAGGGCCTGCCGGAGTTAGATGGACTCCCGCGCCTTCATTCACCCAGGGTTATCTAAGAGCATGAAAACATCTTCCAATCCTACAGACCGAGGAAGCCAGCCTCGCCTTTTCAGAAGACCGTTATGCCAATCGTTCAAACGGAGGCATGCCAAGACCTTCTCGCCTACACTTTCCTGTGGCTCTGGTGTACCCGACGGCACCGAAACCGTCTTCCTCTCTACGGAAAACAAAACAAGAGGAAGGCAAAAAACAACAGACCTGTGGGTTCTGAGCTGGTGGAGTTCTGCATTCGCTGTGAGGGGCCCCGTATTGTTGGGGAGGGTGAGCAAAGTGTGGGTTTTCACTCATCGGAAGCGATGGGCTGCTATTTAACACTGACAAATAACAATTCTCACTACCGACCCAATGCTGAGTTCCTCTCACACAAGTCACACACCTCGGCACCTGGGCTGGCTTCTGACATGAGTGAGTCACAGAAAGTTCCAGCCTTCTTCCTCTCTGAAACCCACCGGGTGAGCTTTGCTAACTTGAATTCCAACTTTCCTTAAGCAGATTTTACAAAGTGTCCATATGGCCCTTTGTCTCTTATTCCATGCTTTTAAAACACTGCACACACTTAAAATATAGATCCGAGCTGGTTAGCAAACAAGCCCAATCTGCTACAGACATCTTCTCTCACTAAGCTGATTCCGATGGCTGATCGGTCCTGTGGTGTTTATGAAATGCTTCCATCATAATGGAGATGTGCTAACACAAGCATGTTACTTTTCTGTACCAAGTTCTGTTTGGGGGAAAATCTAAGCTTAAATACAAAGGCATGCTCACAAACACATGACAGGGCTTCACAGTGTTCATGGAAAAGTTATATTATCTTTTTGTTCCACTTTCAGGTGAATTTTTTGAGGGCTCCTCATAAATAATTGAAAACACTACGTTTAAGTTGAAGAGATCGATAAGTTTACACAGAGTAGGCGAAGACCCTGTGGATCTCGGGTGCCCCAGGCTTGCAGGGGCCTGGGACGAGAGGGCACTGACACACAACAATGATTTTAAGGACAACAAAAACCAAAAACCCCAAACTCGCTGCCATTGAGTCAATTGATGACCCCACACAGCAGACAGAACTGCCCCCTTTGAGTTTCCAAAGTTGTCCATCTTTAGGAGCAGAGAGTCTCATCTTTCTCTCATGGGAGAAACTGGTGGGTTCAATCTGCTAACCCTGTGGTTAGTAGCCCAACACATTAAGCACTATGCTACCTGGGCTCCTGCTTCCGACATCCTTTCTTGAAGAAAACTATAAAGAAGTCTGGACTATACGGGAAGTTCCTTAAAAGGATTCGGGGTGCATACAAAAAGTCAACGGCCAATGTGAAATCCTTAAGGAGAAAGACTGAGAGCTTTCCCCCTGGAAACCGGAACAAGACAAGGGTGCCCGCTCCCACCGCTTATATTCAATATTGTATTAGAAGTGCCAGGAAGAACAGTAAGACAAGAAAAAGAAACAAAAGCTATCCAGGTTGGAAAAGGAGAAGTAAAATTATCTCTACTCATAGATGATATGATCCTAACTATGAAAAAAATCTCAGAATACACTAAAAAAATTCCAAAGCTAATAGAAGGATGGAGCAAAGTTGCAGGGCACAAGGTCAACAAACAAAATTCAGGTGGATTTCTCCACACCAACAACGGAAAATCTGAGAAAGAGATTCGGGAAGCAACTCCGCTTGGAAGATACAAAATGCCTAAGAACAAGTATAACCAGAAGCATGAAAAATCTATGAAAGAGAACTATAACCACTGCTACGAGACATGAAAGAATAGTTAAGAGGCAGATATTCTGTGTTCATGGGTTGGAAGACTTAATATTATTAGATGTCAATATTATAGAAAGTGATCTATAGAATCAACAAAAACTGCCAACAGCCTTCATAAATTTATAGAAATTGAAAAGCCAATCCTCAACTTCATATGGAAAGAGGCCTTGAAAAGCTTTAAAAAAAAAAAAGGACTGAAAGGGAAGATCAAAGTAAGAGGACTCACATGTCCTGATTTCAAAACATATTACACAACTATAGTAACCAGAACAGCCCAGCACAGGCATTAACAACAAACACACAGACGCACAGACCAATGGAACACAGTTAAGAGGACAGAAATAAGCTCATGCATCCACAATCGATTTAGTTATTTAGTCCATTCAATGGGAAAGACGAAAACAGAATCCCTGCCTCACACCATGCAAAACAACGTTGAGAACTTCAAGGTACTAACTCAAAGTATAAAATTCTTAAAGAACAAGCAGGGGCAACACTGGAAGAAACAACCTAGCTTTCAACAACAGAGCATCTCACCTCCCAAAAGCACAAGCAGCAAGAGATAAAATGGCCTTTGCAAAACTTCTGTCCGCCAAGAACATACAAGAAGAGTGAAAAGAAAAGCTATCAACTGAGAGAATAAGCACACAGCAGCCAAAAGATATGTAAAACTCTGAAAACAAAAAGGGAAACAATCCAATTTCAAAATGGGCAAAGGACTTGGACAGAAATTTGACTAAAAGAACATTCAAATGGCCAGCAAGCACATAAAAGGACACTCTGTCACTAGCTAGCTGCGAGATGCAAAGCTCAACAACAAGGACAGTCAACTACACTTTCACTCTGAGATAACAAACAGCGAATGCTGGTGAAGATGTGGGGAAACTGAGGGCCGCATCCACTGCTGGTGGGAATGGAAAATGGTACCACTGCTGTAGAGTCCAGTGAGGTGTCTCCAGAACAGAAACAAAATAACATTTAAAAAAAAATCCACAACTCACAATAACTGTCAAGTCGACATCGGCTTATTTCGACCCTATATGACGGGGTAGAATTGCCCCTGTGAGTTTCCGAGACTCTTAAAGCTGTTTACGAGAGAAGAAAGCCCGGTCTTTTTCCCTCCGAGTTGGCTGGTGGATTTGAAATGCTGGCCTTGACAATCATAGCCCAGCGTTTAACCACTATACTACCAGGGTTCCATTTGCAGAACCTATTGCTTTTATTGTTTTCAGGTAAGTTATACAACAGTGAAAAGCTGAATTGGCAAAAGTTGTGTGACTGATGTATTTTAAAATGCATAAAAGATTAGCTGCTGGGCCTACTTATATACAACTAAAATCTTCCTGGGGTTTGGTGCCTTAGTGTGGAGGTTTGAGGTCATGGTGTCATGGTACATCCCAGTTACCAAACTCAGGCTCCCTGCCATCAGACAGGGCAGAACTGACCCTGTGGATTTGCCGGTTACTCTGCCCACTCACAGATTTAGTGCTTTAGCTCAACTTCTGAGATCCTGGCAAAATGCCTGGGATGGTCTGAAACTCCTCCAAGTGACCAGCAGGACACAACAACTGGTCTCTATTTATGTGGAGCAACGGAGGGAGGAGGCAAGAAAGTCAGGACTAGGAGAAGGATATGGTTTGTTTAGCTCCCTGCCTCGCTGGCCAACCGCCTCCTTTGCCATGAGAGCAGAACTGGAGGGTGAGTGGCTCCCACTACTGAGCATCTTGAGCAAAGAGTGTACTGAAGAACCCTGATCCAAGAGGAGGAAATGACAGAACAGAATTTCACGTTCCCATGGACCTGCCCTGAAATGATTCTCCCTGAGTTACAATCTTTAAACCCTAGACTTCTGAAAAGCACTCGTTGGCTTACAGGTGTTCTGCACACTAGGCTGGATTAAGAACTATCTGCACAGGGAGTCACTGTACTCCACAAAGAACTACCTACAGTGAATCAAACTGACAACAGATTAGGTGGGAACCTTGAGGGGGGTGCTTACGTAACGCGGAAGGAACAACTCAGAAGAGGAAGGTAAGAATGGCTGCACAAGCTGAAGACTACTCAACAGAGCTAAATCTGACACTCAGAAACTGGGCTATGAATACTCTAAATAACAACCTAATAAAGCTCAAAAAGAAAACATGTTATAAATCTATGAAGAAGGCCTGACGTGTATCTTACTAAGGCAAAGAAGCCCATCTGAAAAGCTACATGCTGTATTTTTCCAACTACATAACATGGTGGAAAAATAAGACACCGAATGTGAAAAGATCGGTGGTTACCAGTTCAGAAAGGGGGTGAAAGGTGGCGCACAAGCCATTGTCAGGGCAGTGACACTCTTTCACGCCATCCTGGAGGGCTTGCTTAGCAGCCCAGTGACTGCTCCGCCCCAGGACTCCCAGTCCAAAGACACCCACGCCGAGACACACCATCAATTAACCATGAAACACCAAGAGGAAAATCTCGCAATCAGCCAGACAAAGGCCACAGTAGCTCCAGGGGGAACAACGTGAGCAACACTGACTCTCTCATCTGAATGAGCACCCACAAGGCACCCATTATCCTCGCATCTTCAATGAGTCATCAATTGCTGCCACAAGGGCCGAATCTATACACTCGGAAGGGACTTTGCACATCAGGTGCTCAAAAATTCTCCTCCTACTTCAAGGTCCAACTCAAACCTCCCCCTCTCCTCCTGTCCCACAAGGAACTTTGCTGATTGTCCATCTGTGTTCAGATTGGAACTCGCGGCTCCTGTCTCCGAGACTGTCAGCTCTGAGGGTGACCAACAGTCTGCTGTGCACACAGTAGTCATAAAGCAGCATGACAAGAATCTGATTGTCTGAGCGAGGAGTGGCACCTCTGGGCAGAGGGGCAGGTGCTGGCACGCACGTCGGTCAGGTGTGGATACTCACGGCCACTCTGACTCGGGCTGCACTTGGTGGGCTTCGATGACCCCGATGGCGACATTGAGGTTCTCCTGCAGCTCGCGCATGCGCTCCATATTGAGGGTTGTGAACATGATCATCGAACAGTAGGCCACAATCTTTTTGTCATGATGGTTTAAGCAAGTGCTTCAAAGAAAAGAGTTACATTCTTAGCCCCATTTAGCAACATGATGGACTGTGAATACAACATCATCATAATCATCTCGTGAATAATTCAGTACATGCTGAAAATTTTTAAGACTTTGATAAAGGATAACAATACTCTGAAATGGACACATTATATATGGTAAGAAGATCTCATATAAAACCAGACACAATTACAAATATTTAATATTAAAGTAGTGGAAACTGAGGACTTGGGGGGGGGGGTCCACGGGGATTTGACTCTCAGAGAAAAAGACTACCGGTATGTACTCTAATATAAGCCAAACTGCGTATCAGCTGAGGCACCTAATTTTACCACAAAAACTGCATTAAAAAATGTGCTGAAAAACTCTGCTTCTACACAAGTATAAACGGTAAATTAGTATATTGATAAGGCAGGAATATGCTCATCCTCGTTAAAAAGAAAACTCAAAGATGAAAAGCGGTAACTCGGTGACCACAGACCTCCTCTAACTGAGACAAGGGGCAGACAGCCCGCAGCAATCAACAGACTGGGGGTCAGGAGGCTCTGTGCAAGCCACGGCTAATCCACCTCTCAGCTGTGACCTGAGGAAAATTCTCCAGTGTCAATTACGTTTTAAGTCATGTACTGTGACAGGATTTTTTCCCCCATTCAAACTTCTAACACTCTTCTGAGGGGGGTTATTGTCCTCACATCAGACAAGGAACGTGAGGCTCCGAGAGACTGAGTAACTTTCCTCCCAGGGGCACAGAAGCAGGAGCTGCCACAGCTGGAATGTGCCTGCGACGCTGCCTGTCTCTCCAACACGTCAGAAGTGCACTCACATCACCTCTCCCATGATGCTTCCTGATCCAGCACAGGGCACGCAGTAGCAAGACCTTCTCGACGACCCTGCCTGAGGAGCGAGGGGGACAATGAAGGAACGCCCCGGGAACTATCCAGACATCCCTGACTGTCCCACGCTGGCTCAAGGGCCTCACCTCTGTGTTTCTAGGATGCCTGAGTTTGCTGCACTGTGCTGGTTCATTTAAAAAGAGCCCTGGCCGCGCTCTAGAGTAAGTGTAGGGTTGCTAACCACAAGGTCAGCAGTTCAAACCCACTAACCACTATCTTACAGGGGTCATGTCGACTCCAAAGCTGTGTGCTTGGTGGGCTTGGGGTGGGATTAGTTGCGAGACCATGACATGCTGGTCGGCCCCCCTTTCTCTCCCCCAAACCAAGGAGCTAGGAATGCACCTCACTTACCCCTGGGTTAGAATGGACTCGAGGGCCCACGACGACCACACTGGACGTGAAGTATAGTGGATGTCCAAGATGTGTCCAAGGGAAAACGAACAGCCATAGAGCCAAATTCACAGGAATAAGCCCTCAAAATTCAGTAATTGTGCTTTCTGAAGCTTAAACCCTGTAATTATTTTCTTCTGCCTGGTCCATTATTAATGTAAGAGTAACAGGCATTTATATGCCCTCAACCCTAATTATTTTGCAAGAACTTGAGTGCCAATTACAGGCTACAGGGCTAGAAGTGCCAAAAGGGTCCATCTGGCCCTAACCCCATTCTGCTCAGCGTGGCATCTAGAAAGAGAGGAGGCTGTGGCCCCAGGGAGAGCGTGGGGATCCTATGCTATGTCAATTACCTGCCTAAGCATCAGAGCCCTCAACAAACAGAAAATGTCAACTCCGGGCACTAGGAAAATAGCTGCTTCCACCACCACTGTCACCATGGGGTGACTGGTAAAAGAGCCTAGATAAGCAGCCAGTCCTTCCACGCCTTCCTGTGACTGCTGTTTGCCTGTCTTGCCTCCATTGCCTGCTTCCCTGGACCTCCAGCTTAATTCCTTATGAACCACAGGGCTGGCTGTCCATCAACAGAAAAAGTACCACACTCCAATCCGGCTAAGATGGCATGGTTACTCACATCCTACATTTCTCCGCACCCAGAGCACTGTGGTGAGCATACACAAGGTGCTCAAACACTAGACCAATGAACTGCCCATACTCTGTCATAGGTCCTAGGGTGAAGTTCTTGTCTTCTGCTTTGAGTGTAAGTATTCCTGTTTACACCATATCCCTCGCTTCCTTAACTGAAGGAAAACTCACGACGACGTGTGCAGCTCAGTGAACCACTCCTTATGTCTACAGTGATACAACCACCACTACAATCACAAGGGAACACGCCTCACCTTCAGAAGCCTCCCTCATGCCCTCTCCCAGCACCTCAGAGTGACCCCCACCCTGGCTTCTGTCCCCAGAGGTTAGTTCCAAACGTCAGGTAAAGGGGGGGTGGCACCATGACCTTCTCGGCAGTCAGGGAGATTCTGACGGGCATACTCACAAGAAGAGTTCTGGGAAAGCACGCGCCCAAACAGCAGACTGGGACTCCTCGTTCCGTGAGGCGACGTTGCCTAAAAACTGCAGGCCGCAGCGGAAAGCTGCAGACAGACCAGGGCAGAGCAGACACAAAAGCACTGTGAATACAATCACGTTCTGGATACACGGTGAATAAATGCATCTGGATACGAAACATTCCAGTTACATGGGGATTTTTTTTTTTTTAAATACAGTGTCCCTTTTGGTACAATGTTAATATTTAGATGCCTCGCCAAATCAAAACACATTATAGGATATTCAGTAACTTCTAAGACTGCTAATGTAGACACATATATACCTATGGTTTACATATGGAAAACAATGGCTAATCTATGCATAAGAGGAATACAAACTCCCATGAAAAGACAGTGACTCTTGGACTAGATTTCAAACTAAAACAGTTGAAATAGTGCAAGTTAAATAATGGAAATAAGATACTGGGCAAGTGCCAGCCTAAACAGGAAGTCACAGACCAGTTAAAATTAGACATAAGAAGCATTAAAGCAAACAGCATTACTGGAGTTTTAAAGGGGTGGGGGGAAGGGGTCATTTCCAGATGATTCCTGAGTATCATAAATGATTAAGCACTCAGTGGCAACCCAAAAGGCTGGCAGTTGAAGACCATCCAGAGACAGCAGAGAAGAAAGGCTAGAGACTGGCTTCTAAAAGGTCGCCCACTGACAGCCCTGTGGCACAGCTTTCTCCTGCCGCCTGGGTCACCCCGAGTCAGGGTGGGCAGGAAAGTTCTCGATGCTTCCTGTGAACCACGGTCTGCATGTTCCACAGGCAGGCAGGCAGGCAGGCAGGCAGGAAAAGGCTCGCGCTGCTGCGTGTGCTGTTGACTCAGCTCCGCCTCAGAAAGCCTGGATGGCATGACGACCCAGGAGAAGATGGAGACTCAGAAAGTCTGTGTGGCCCATGCCAAGCAGCCAAAACTCAGAGGCAGCCTGACACCACACTCACTGATGAGCTAAGAGAGCGAATCTTTCGGCCATTTCTTACTAGTCAGGCAATGCTGGTTACAAAAGCATCAGGACACTCTGTACTTCATGGTACACATACTGCCTCCGACCTGAGTGCCCAACTCAACCCCACCCCCTTCCCCAGGACGACCCCAGGCCACCCCCCACCCCCCCCACGGCTCTGCCCTCTGAGGGGCTGTGCCTGGGTTAATACTGCTGCCAGGGCAGGAGCACAGGTCCTGCGTGGGGAGAGGGCATCTGGGGAACTAGACACCAGCATGAACACAGCTCCGAAAACACAATTCATAAGGTCACAGCGGAATCCTGACAAAAGTCCCATTGACTGTTGGCTAGTTGGATGATCTCATTCAAGCCGTGACAACCTTACAACTCACACCATCTAGTCGATTCCCACTCAGGGAGACCCATTAGGAGAGAGAGTTGTTCCTGCAGGTTTCCAAGGCTGTACATCTTCATGGGCGCAGAAGCCTCGGCTTTCTCTCAGAATGCACCTGGTGACTTCCGACTGCTGGCCTTGCAACTGGCAGTCCAGTGTGTAACCCACAGGCCACCAGGGCTCCTTTGAGCTGACCAGGTACCCATTAATAAGACCTCCATGGTACAAACTCAGAACGGTCAGGCCATGGCGTCTGTAAGCCAGAGTACCAGTGTGGCCAAGAGGCAGTTCCGAGACCAGAAGCAAGGGCCTCACGAGCAACCAGAGATGGACTGCCAGGCGCAGCGAAGGGCTTTCCCTGAGGAGAGGACTTCCCGCCCAGATGTTTCAAGAAGCCGTTTGAGGGGCCAGTGGGGTCTCAGCTTTTCTAGCAACAACGTGAGAGCCTGCTGCTCGAGGCACCGGGGGTCCTGCCTGAGTGCAGCACAGGCTCCTGGCGCCAAGCCCTGGAAGGCAGGGCCCTTAGACTGATTCAAGAGGACCAGTGTGTGATGTGTCTGAGCTGTTCTCTGGGGGGGGAGGGGGGGTAATGCAGCAAGTGACCCCCAAAAAGCTGAGAGGGGGGTGCCACAAGTCAAGACACTGAAAAGAAGACAGGTCTTCCAGCCCAGTAAGTCAAGGGCCTCAGAAATGAATTCCGTGAATGTTATCTTAGAACCTACAGAACTGCCAAGCACACACGCAGACCCAGGCAGCATGTCCTGGGAGACAGCAATCAAAACCCAAAGGCTAAGTCTTCCGCAGACAAAGCCCAGAGGCCAGGACGCTTCCTCTTTGACTTTTGTTAGTTTTTAAAATCATTTTGTATTAAAATTACATAAAGCCTTTCAGGAAAAAGAACTTCATTTTTCTTCTGCTAAGACATAATAAAAAACACACTATTCCACCTTGTGGTGCGGTGAATTATTTGACATGGCTCTTCCACCCAGTCTGGCTGGATCCCACCAAATGCCGAGGCAGACCCAGCACATGGGGTAGGTCTCCTCTGTTCCTGAGGGGTGGGGGGTGAGAGGAGGTGGAGGAAGATGCTGATTGGATGAGATGGTGCAGCTGGAGCAATGGTTAACAAGGGTCACCATGCACCGTGACTATGAAAATGTGGGGCTCTGACATGGGAGCCAATGGGGATGTAACGAGCCGTGGCAGCAACAGAAGGTGGAATCCCTCTCCATGAAGAAAGGAAAGCCCCGGAGGTGCCTGCGCACTGAACCTCCTCGAGGCAGGGACGGGAAGCTGTGGCACCTGGCAAATGGCACCGGAAGGGCAGAAGTAGAACCAAAAGCAGCCGCCCAGCCCACCGGCCAGTAAGTGGAGTGGCTTCAGGCAGAAACATGGCTTACAGAATTGGGAAGGTAGGTCTATAGACACATGGGAACTCAGAGCTGAGCACCTTTGGGCTGAGGTTTATGGTGGAGAGAAGTGCTAACAGGGCTTGGGAACACTTGCCGGAGCAGGGCAGAAACCCGTCTGGGGACTGAGACAGGCCTGCCTGAGGGCACAGCTGAAGACAGGTTGTGTTGAACAAAGAACTTTACCTTGGGCTTTGTTGATCTGGGACGGCAGCCTGCTAACGTCTCTAATAAACCCATGATCATTGAGTATTATTGTCTGGGAGCTCTATGGAGCCACTGCAATGAACCAAGGAACAGGCTGAGAGGAAGTGTCCTGAGGGAGGGTGGCTGTGTCAGACAGACGTGGTAGAGGAGACTAGAGGCATGTCTGACCCCTGCCTGCCTCGAAGACTGTCTCTGTGCTGATGGTGGGGAAGTCTCCCTGCTTCTTGTGAAGTCCGAGGCTGTCAGAGGACGCCTCTGTGACATTCTCACATGACTGACGTTTTAGTATTTTAGAAAATCCTCAGAAGATGCTTGTAACTTTTCATTTAACACACACAAAAGTCAACAACGGAAGTAGTTCTGAAAGTCAACTGACCCGACAATTCATCAGGCAACGAAAAATTAGCGCTTTGAATCAGAACACAGTTCTGAAAAGGAAAGGTTTGAAGATGCCCTGGAAACAGAGTAAAACTCCAGACAAGGACAAATGACAGTTTATTTTTACCAAACCAGTTATCAACTGATCTTTATGTAAATAGTGCAAACGTTACAAAGCTCCTCAAAAATGCCAACATTATTTTTACAGATTAGCACAGAATAAAAGCCAAAAACAACATCAATAACTCAATTAAAATAACTCAGGCTTGTGTTTATATAAATTTGATGAGCATAATATATTCGTCACACCACTGCAATTATTCCCTGAAATAATACTCTAACTATTATTTTGACAATGTAATTACAGTTCTTACCCGAAGGGTAGTAACAAAAAACTGGCATAGATACGCAGCTAGAAATTCACCTAGAATAAGGTTCTCACAGAGAAATATCAGGAGACAGAATACGGGTTACAGGTCCAACATGCTGGTCGAGCTAACGTAAAAAGGACCAGGCGTCACTGAATCCAAATGTCACTGTTAACATCCAGATAAAATAGTGGGATTTCATGAGCTCCTCTTTTCAAAAGGAAGTCAGAAATATCATTTAACTTCCACTTTATATAATGCATACATCCAACTCTGCCCATGAACACACATCATCTACTCAACACTCATGTGGGGGGAGGGCAGATCCTTGCTGCCAGACTACTGTCTCATCCCACCACAGGGGTGGGCCTGCTCCCTGCCTCTGGGGACAATGGACAAGCTCCTGTAGGCGGAGTTTTCACCCTACTGATAATGCTTCCTATGGAGACCCAGAGACCACCCCCTAGACCACCCCCTCATTGCTGTGTAACCTATAGTGCAGCCCCTCCCTGTGACATATATCTCTACCTGTAATTAGTGGGCTGGCATGCCCCCAAAAGGAATATAGGCATGGGTCAGCAATATAGAGCTCTCGGACCTCTCTGACTCTCCCCTCCTTGCTGCTCACTCCCTGGTGACTCCCCTCTCTTCCCCGTCTCCTCTCCCGTCCTCTCTCCCTTGCTCCCTTGCCCTCCTTCCCTTCCCCCTCTCTCCACGTGGACCACCAAGCTGGGCTAAGGTGAGCAATGCTACCATGTAATGTGTCTGACTGCATGATTGTAATATCTCTCATGCTCTCAATGACTTTAATATAATACTTATCTCAACCGTACAACTGTGCATTACTGAACCCAGAAGTAGTATTACTGAACCAGTGAGTTCTAGTAGCGGGTGGGGCTGGCAACCCACACCTCCACGCGCCAATTTAATACTACACACTCAGACAATTAAAACCTTAATGCAGACCTAAATAAGTAAAGGGCCAATCTATGTTCATTGATGGAAGGTCAATATTGTTAAAATGGCAATTCTCCCAAAGTTGATTGAAATAACCCCTACCAAAATAGCAGCTTTAAAAAAAATTTTTTTCCCCAAGAACTGACTTATTTATCAGGTGATCAAGTATATGTAGAAAAAGTAAAAGTCCTAAACCATTTTGAGAATGATGAACAAAAGTGAAAGACTTGCACTTCCCAAGTCCAAGTGGAAAAGCCATTGTCATCAACACAACACGGCAGCAGCAGCACAGCCAACGAGAAGAAGAACAGACTCAGAGCCAGAAGAAGGCCTCACATGTACTTGCCCCAAAGGAACCGCGGTGATCCGACGGGGAGGGAGCAGTGTCCGATGTACCTGGGCCACTGGCCATTAGCATACCCTCACACCAAACGTGAAATTTAAAGGACATGTAACTACTAAATACAAGTATACTACATAAAAGTGGCAAAATAGAACTTTTAGGAGAAAAACTTTGTGACCTTGTGGGCAGAGTTCTTAGATACAACCCATAACAGAACAAACTGGATGGCCTGGGATTGGATGCAATGAGCATGAGGGTCCCTTTGTGAGGCAACGGTCTGAAACTGGATTGTGGCGATTTGTGCACGACCTGGCAAATTTACTAAAATCCATTCACTTGTAGACTTAACCCCCAACCAAACCCACTGCCATCCAGTCGATGACAACTCATAGCAACCCTACAGAACAGTAGAACTGCCCTTACGTGTTTCCAAGGCTGCAACTCTTTAAGGCAGCAGAAAGCCTCCTCTCACACACACAGAGCAACTTGTGGGTTTGAACTTCCGACCTTGCAAGGAGCCTCTCAATGCACTAGCATGGTTAGTGACCCACTGTGCTGTCAAGACTCCTTTGTAGACAATGAAGATGCATTTTACGGGACTTATATAAACGTGTCAACGGATGTAAACTGTGTAGATGGTGTCAGTGATGCCTCAGCAAAGCTATAAAAAGTTAAACGGACAGAACAGCAGCCACCTGGGTGGTGGTCAATCTCCGTGCCATCAACACAGCCGCCTGAAGGGTCTGCCCCACTGGTGGGAGTGGTGGTGGTACCAGGTGCGTCCAGCCGGTTGTGACTCAGTGACCCCCAGTACAACAGAACAGTCACGTGCCCTCCACCCATGTGTTATGCTCGAGCCTCAGACGGGCAGGTATCAAATGAAAAGTCAAAGAGCGCTTTTACTCATCCATGACTGGATGGCTCATAAAGCCTTTCTCTTTCAAAAGTCTGCTTTCAAATGTTTCATTAGGTAACCTCCTTGCAGCGGAAAAGAGAGTAGCAGCATTAATACTATGGGGAAAGGCACATTCGGTTTATCATACTTTATAAAAATTAAATGTGAGCTGGTTTCCCTGGGGGTGTAGAAGGGCAATTCTTCCCTGTCCTGTCGGCCATGGAGGGTTTCTGAGGCTGTGACTCCAGATGGGGATAGAACACCTCATCTCTCTCCAAGGTACAGACTGAAGGAGGGAGAAAGGAAAGTGGCTGGAGCTTACTTTTGTGGTAATTCTTTAACATTTCACTGATGAAGTTTCCATGTCTCATGAAACACAGAATGTGATCTTTCCACTCAAAGGCCTGATTTTTAAACCCTTTGCAAGCCCAGGAGTAAGCTGTGAATTGCACTGCATGTTACCTGTCAACAGGGATTCCTGCTCCGTCTGCAGCTCACGGAAAAGAAGAATCAAATCAACAGCAACGGCGATCGTATCCAGGTTTCTGGGTTATATTTTAAAAAGAAAAGAGAAAAGTTAATACATCCGTGTCCTTAAACGACAAACGATGACTTGATGAAGGGCGCGGAGAATTCTGGGCTAACAGTTCCTGTGGTCGGCTCCGTGCGTGCCCCAAAGACGTCCTGTGAGTCTTCCACCTGTCATGGAAGTGCCGCCACCACGGGTTGCCCTGTCCTTATAGGAGGGAATCAGGGAGGAGGAGGAGGAGGAGGAGGAAAGGCAGAAGCTGAGGCTAGAAAGAATGAAGTTACTGCTAGAAAAGAGCTGGGGGGGGGGGGGGCGTTGTGTCAACTTGGCTAGACCAGGATTCTCAGTGTTTGGGCAGTTTTTTTTAAAGGAAGCTCCCTGCCACTGAGTTGCT